AATTTCCGAAAGTTTATCGAAATGCTCCGAATAGCGTAATCACTATTAATGGATTAAGCAGATAACAGGTAAACAGGTGATACTTTGTTTGATAGTCAAACGATCGCCAACTATCATAGTACACAAAGGAAACAATAGACGTCACTGCTCCTTCTGTTCTTACTTATGCATGTATCGACATTATACTTTAAAGGGGAACTCATACTATGAAATAGAGGCAAGATAGCGACCGCAATTAGCAGCTAATCCGTTCACATCTTAGCGGGAGCTCTGGGGAATGTGCCATTTACGATGTTTGACGATCAAGCTGTGATTCCAAATACATTTCTACGCTAGCGATTACACTCATCTGGTCGGGGTTTTGATATATAAATGTTGTTGTTTTCGGTCGACACGTGCCGCCACGAAAAAAAAGTCATGAGTTTGAAATGGCGGTTAATGTATACAAAATGCCTGTCAATCACAGTTTGAGTAAACGAAAATATAAATCCCCTAGATATTAATTTACAAAGCTTGTTGGTTTACAATAGCATTATCGTTACGCAGTTTGTCTAACCATCGATAATATTGGGGCATGGCGATGTAAGACAGCAATGTTTAAAACAATATTTACAAAACATTTGCATCAGTTATAAATACATGTATAATGTGCTATGATAATAAAACCACACGACCAAGAGCCCGAAATAAAATAAAATCTGTTTTATTTTAGTTATTTCTACTAGCTAGGAAACAATACGCATCACGTGAAGAAAGTTAGCGACGGTTTTTCAACTTATGTGTACAATCGATAAAAGAGTTCTATCAAAACAAGTATGCAAACGACTCAACAAGATGTGCCCATTTGTTTTCCCTAGCATAACCAGTAGTCGTGTTCCATAGCGTCGCATATTGAAACAACGTCGATTTTGTAATACATGTAATTACAACGCTGCTCAAATTGAGTCTAGATTGATTTTGACTGTAACAAGAACTCACATCTTACACGGGATACAATCCGATACCACCCTTGCACATACAAGTCCTTGGCTAGAGGTATTTTCCACTTGTTATATTAGCAGTCCAGAAGAGTAGTTTGTATACGGAATGTTCATAGAAAGTTTCGTTCTCAGTTTTAATGTATACGAGATCAGTACCGTTAATACAACGACGCAACGGAAACAGACAAGTCGGCGGATTTCTTTCGCGACCGTTTGGTAACAACTGGTTTTGTGTTTAGTATCCGGTGGACCGCTGCATTTACTAGTGGGCATAATTTTTGTCCGACGATGTACATATTGAGCTAGCTCATGCGTTTGACGCAAGTGACCCAACAAACTAACTTGTACTTGGTTTGAAATTTATTTGTTATGTTGTATTTAAAGAAGCAAATTGTAATCCGTTCAAAGGATGTTTATATCAGTTGTTGTTTTGCGAGATTAGCAGGACAGGGGGAAAGATAAGCATTCATTTACTTGGTGGACATAGGCGTGGTTAATTACCTATGAGCACTTAGTGCAATCCACATGATTGAGCGGTTCCCCTTTAACGTTAACAATTCTCACACACTAAACTATGTATAGCTACCTAACGATTAGAAGGAGTGTCCTTCTCGCACTGGGGAATTCGCCGTAAGTTGACAAGCCCTCGAGCCCCACACTATGACACCAACTATTATGCTAGATTTAATACATTTCAACCCGTATACTTCAGCCGGTCACCGACATACAAATAATCTTCCACGGCTACAAGACACCTTTTGAACTTTGAATCAGATAACTTGGGTCCACGGGACCAGAGTACAGTTGACCTGCTGTCTAGCAAATTGCAACCGCGCTGAGAAGTGTCGAGGTTGTAGTTTTTTCTCTCGAAGATTACCGTACCGTACATATATAGCCTTGATTTTATTGTGTTTAAACTCAATCTTGTCACGAAAATTCTCGGCGGTGTGAAACTGAATTGTTGAACTAGACACGATGAAAATCCAGGTTTCATGCTCCGTTGGTCTACCTGATCGACGACAAATATTGTTTACCAAATCTAGCCTTCACATACACGCTAAAATAGGGGAACAAATGACTAAAATATTTATTTTTATAATACAAGTTCCGACTTACTTTTGCAAAACCGGCCTCACGTGCATTAGGAAATGTATACTATTAGGCATATAACATTTGTTTTGCGTTACAAGTGGCTGTGGTGGGTTTTTAGATTTTTGCCACACGAAGTGATGCACCGACTCAAATTATCCTTACTCTTTCACGAGAGTGAAAGTCTGTTCTCCGTGTACTAAACAATTATTTATTAACCGCACTGGACTTCGCATGACCCTAAGCATGTGTGCATCGTAGTCATCGCAGTTTCCCATATTAGTTCCGTTATTAATTTTCGCATTGGAATGCCAAAGTACTCTGATCTGCGCACTATGGAAACACGTTTTCTTGGCTCGTTATACACTTTAGTACCTATGGGTATTAGTGCTATCAGATTGTAAATATACTACGAGTTTCTGTAAACATAGGCTATGCAAGTGATTAATAGCACTGTTTAGAATAGCCACACCTCCAATATACACCAGCCCGGGCAAATAAATTGTGCTTTTAATCATTATAGTGATAACGTAATGTAGAAAGTAATGGTAGTTTTTTACTTCGTTATATTTAAGTATAGAAAATCAGCCACGTGTAACGTCACACATTAGTTTCTATGGCGACGATCCCCTGCTCCATAACCGCCTTCACACAGAGTTGCATATATTATTATCGTGTATCGCAATACAACTACTGACATGTACCACAGAATCAGTGGCCTCGACAAATTAAAAAGCAAACGTTTGTTTAATGAGATCACATGTGTCATGCATCTGCTCGTAGGTGCCATCAAATCAGTCCTTCCACCTGGTTAGCAATAATTCAGTAATTCAACAACATTAATTTATTAGATAAATATTGGAACACTAAACAATAAAGAACATAAAGAAATTTTAACAATAGCTGGTATTTGAATGTATTTATGTATATTTTCCAAAATCATCACGAATTCAAATACGATTCATAATGCTAACAAAAACTTCAAACAAGCTTTCAGGATGCATCTCTTACTTAGAATCGTCTGAGTGTTAAAAACATTCAATCATTCCATATTTTAACCATTTATTGCCAGCACCAATTGATCCAAATTTTTGTGATATAAAATACTGTCGTTATTGACAGTGTTCATGACAAGCTTAGTCTACAAGTGTTAAATAAAAATAATAATTTCCGTTTAAAAAGATAAATTGAGTGAATTATGGTTCTTACATACAAGGTGTATTTCTTACAAAAGCGGAAACAAGGAAACTAGTGTGAAGGTTTTGCCAAGGTCTTAGCAACAAGTGTGAAACTGTCGTCAAAAAGTAGGGTGATTTCAATTCTACTAAACTTAAATGTGAAAGACCTTAAACTTTTATAAGGGAAGCCCTCAGTCCAGTATACCCATGTACTTCCGGTAAAAATATCAATCACCACAAAGTGGCATGAATTCAATACGAATATTATACCACTAGTTTCCGCTGATGAGAATGACACCATACTTGTCCATAATAATTCATTGACAGTGTACAAATACCTCTAGCAATACACTTAAGTACTGGGTAAGAATAAAAAAACTAAAACAAGCAAACTGTGAAATACTATAATTACATTATGTGTATATTTCAAAATACAAATTTGCTCACACTCAGATCCCTGTTTATTGTTGACATTTGTTGCATAAATGTATCTAGATTGGAACGTATGCAGTAATATACTGGAATACTTTTCTAATATTGCATACTAAATATGACATTACAAAATAAAATTAAAGTTGTTTTTCAATGATACATGACTAATAATAATCCTACTGTACTAATACCTATACCCTGGGACCAGAGATGAATGGCAACACACACTACATAGCTTTCCACTATATTTAAAGGCAAATTCGTACATGTTTACAATCCTATAACCACCTCCATTCAATAAAAAACGTTGTCTGTTTTATCTATTTCATATGAAAACATCTTGATCCAAACGTCATCACACTTTCGGATACATGACGAATTAGAAAAATACCACATGTCTGAAGGTTTCTGTGCCCTTACGTTTTACAATGTTTTGGTTTAGTTTATCGATTTTATATCTCAACTTCTCATCCCCTTTTAACGCATTCTTATTTCTAGAAAGAAAGCACAGTCTGAATGTCTGTGTTCCCTGACACACTTTTTTAATGCCACTCCTGTTATCCTTGACCTCTTGAGTATTTTTCAAAAAGTCCAAGACGACCAATGATCCCTTCTCCAGTTGATCAGCGTTCTTTATGGACTGGATATTACGAGTGTGCATTTGCTCTCCTAGATCTCTTGAATATACAAAACTCTTGTCATATTCTTTGCACTGGAATAACTTCAGCCCTGTATGTGTATGCATGTGATTTTTTAGACCACCAGACTGAGTAAAGTATTTCTTGCATTGTTTGCACTGAAATGGCTTCAATTCTGTATGTGTAAGCATGTGATTTTTTAGACCACCATACTGAGTGAAGCTTTTCTTGCATTGTTTACACTGAAAGCCATTTGGCTTCAATCCTGTATGTGTACGCATGTGCTCCTTCAGATGCCCCGACCGAGTAAAACACTTCTCACATTGTTTGCACTGAAATGGCTTCAATCCTGTATGTGTAAGCATGTGATATTTTAGACCACCAGAAAAAGTGAAGCTTTTCTTGCATTGTTTGCACTGAAATGGCTTCAATCCTGTATGTGTGAGCATGTGCTGTTTTAGATTCCACGACTGAGTAAAACGCTTCTCACATTGCTTGCATTGAAATGGCTTCAATCCTGTATGTGTACGCATGTGCTCCTTCAGATGCTCCGACCGAGTAAAACACTTCTCACATTGTTTGCACTGAAATGGCTTCAATCCTGTATGTGTAAGCATGTGACTTTTCAGACCACCTGACCGAGTGAAGCATTTCTCGCATTGTTTACACTTAAATGGCTTCAATCCTGTGTGCGTAAGCATGTGGTGTTTCAGATTACAAGACTGAATAAAGCATTTGTCACATTGTTTGCACTGAAATGGTTTCCCCCCTGTATGTGCAAGCATATGCTCTTTTAGATAGCTAGAGCGAGTAAAACACTTTTCGCATTTTTTGCACTGAAATGGTTTCACCTCTGTATGTACAAGCATGTGCTCTTTTAGATACCATAATCTAGTATAACGCTTCTCACATTGTTTGCACTGAAATGGCTTAAATCCTGTATGTGTAAGCATGTGCGTTTGTAGACTACCAGACTGAGTGAAGCATTTCATGCATTGTTTGCACTGAAATGGCTTCAATCCTGTATGTGTACGCATGTGCTCCTTCAGATGCCCCGACTGAGTAAAACACTTCTCGCATTGTTTGCACTTATATGGCTTCAAGCCTGTGTGTGTACGCATGTGAAGTTTTAGACCACAGACTGAGTATAACACTTCTTACATGTTTTGCACTGGAATGGCTTCAATCCTGTATGTGTAAGCATATGATTTTTTAGACCACCAGACCGAGTGAAGTTTTTCTTGCATTGTTTACACTGAAATGGCCTCAGCCCTGTATGTGTAAGTATGTGCTGTTTTAGATGGCACGACTGAGTAAAATACTTCTCACATTGCGTGCACTGAAACCCTTTTTCTATGGACTGCACACATTCAGGATCTCTGCTGATTTTGTCATCACCTCTACTGGTATCTGTTTGTGATGGCATAATGCAATCTGTATTTACTTCCATTATTAGGTTCTATAAGTATAGCTGAGTGTACGAATTAGAATGCACTATGAATGTAATCTTAAATGTACTACATTGTATTCCAGGGCTTCATTGTGTGAAGTGTTCTTCATCTATATCTTGGCAGCAAGTTCAGTTTTCACCTACAAAATAACAGAATGAAACAATACAACAAAATATATTTGGAGTGCAACATCATCAAATGATGGATATCTAACTGCAGTTTACCATGTCTTTATGTGCTTCTATAGAGCATAGCCTCAACTTATCAAAATATTATTAACTGGCAATGTAGAATATTAGCTGACAAGAATGATTCCAGCATAATAAGCGGGTCTAGCTCGAATGCTAGTTTTCTATGTGTTTATACAGAGTTTACCAACATAGCTACATGTAAATACTATTTAGAGATAACGTATCAATGTATAAGTATTATGTGATCACAAAGCAGCATATCTAGCTAATTTTCTGTGTGTCTCAGAGTCTATGAATATAGCTACATGTGGTACAATAAAAAATAAAAATAAAAACAAGGTGTGATATCAGAGCAGCCTATATAGCTAGAATGTTAGTTATCAAAGTGTCTTTTTAGAGGCTGAAATATTACCTACACTTAGATGTATTAAATGTATTAAAATAAAAGTATGGTATGATGTGATATCATCGCAGCCTACATAGCTAGAATTAGGCAGAGTGTGTCAACCCACTTATTCACATAGTTCATACCCACCATATACTCAGTTCAGTCAAAATTATCTGTGATTCAGCCATCGACAGAGAGAGAATTACAGGTCAGGTAAGCCCCATGACCTCATAGATTTCCTTCCACAGAAGGAACCTGAAGTATATGGTAGGGTAAGAAATGTGTGAATAGGCGGGTTGAAAACCCTATGCCTAAATTCACTACATTCAATTACCCACCGCAGACTCCAGTCAGGGAAAATGACTATTTGAAACTGTAGAAACTGTAAAGGATATCCCAGTCTGGGACAAACCCAGATGCTTAGGTGACTAGCATTCCAAAGAAAAAAGAGGCCGACACAGTTCTGCATGAGAGCATAGGCCTAAAACGAGACCATGACATGTCCAAGTTTGCAGTCGGGAGAAACTTTTCTGCAAAAATCTATAGGAGAGACTACTTGTTCACCTATGCACAGTGAACCATGTGGTCATCTGGGCCGGGTCAGAAACCAAATTATTACTCACTATTGAACCAACCTTTAAAAGGACCCTCCTCAATGGTTTGGGTGTCTCTTATAATAATAACTGGTAAAGCCGTTTGTGCTCTCCAAAATGCTCAAGCGAGGCACCTAATGCAGGAGCCAATCACAGTCAGGCAGTCAGCAATCGCATAAACCCAAAGTGCTCGTACTTGGTGTCTCTGTAGACCCTTTGTCGATAAAGCCAGATGGTCATAAACTGCGCACACTGTTACAGTGATTCACCTGGAAATGCAAGTCGGGAGACTGGTCTGTCCTGCTTCCCCTTGTCATAACACATAAACATGTGGTTGCTGCCATGTCTCGACTCCCGAGTATGATTCTTGTACTAACTCAACGCTCGGACAAGGCATAAAAGCAACTCCTCACTGATAATGTTGGCTAGACGGGGGATGATGATAGGATCTAGGTGAGAAACGCGTTTCACGTCTTTAACACAGCTTAATTGTCCATAAAGATGACACAATCATCCAAGAAGAACAATGTCCTTAGCTCAGAATGACGCCTACCAGAGACAAGAGCTAGTAGAAAGACTGTTTTCCATGTCAAATATTTTGAGGGTGCTGATCCAAGAGGTTGTAAGGGTAGTCTGCTTAAAGGTGACAGTAAAACAAGTCCCAATTGTGCAGTTCCCTTGTGCAGGGTCTAGGCTGTAAACAGTAGTTGGGAAGCAGTAAACAGTCTCCAAATAAGAGGACTATCGCCTAGTCTTGTCACCAAAAAATTCTCGATGGTGGGTGAAAAGGCTGTCTTATAGCCAATGATCGCTGCATAGGACAAGTCAACTGATCAAAAAAAAAGAGAAGAATTTGCTCTGCCAGAACTAACAGCAATGGAGATCTGGTCCCCGCTACTTATTGATATAGAGACCACCACTGTGTTGTTTGTGTGAAGCAGACTCTGTGGCCTCAACTATGGGGAGGAAGTGTTCAGTGCT